CAGTTAAAACTATTAAAAGAAATTGGGGGAGGAACTAGAGGAATGGCTCCGCATTTAAGAGCACAGGCTACTCTTCCAAAAGATATGGGTTTGATTCTCAGGAACCACATGGTGGCTAAGAATTATCTGTAACTCCTCTATCTGGTCTCTGTAGGTGTGCAGCCAGACATGCAGGCAAAACACCCCCACACTTAAAAGATTAAAAACAAAACAAAAACAGCACTTAGGAGACAGAAGCAGACTAATTTCTGTGAGTTTGAGGACAGCTTGTTCTACACAATGAATTCCAAGATAACCAGGGCTACATAGAGAGATCCTGTCTCAAAAAAGCAAAAATAAATGTATAAAATAAGACAAAAGTTAAAAAGCTAAAGTATATGCATGCCTAAAAACATACCTGTATGGATCCAGCCAGTCCACTCTTAGGTGCCCAACATAAATAAAAGCTTGTGTGCATGCAATAATGTGTACCTGAGAGCATGTAATAGCTTTGCTTGTCATAGTCTTAAGTAGAGGCAATCCACAATGATTAACCAATATGTCAATGTATAAGTAGAGGGTGTGAAAGATTTTAGTTTGCAGAGCAAGGATGTAGGAAAGGGGCAGGAGAATAATTCTTGTAAGCAGAATATAGAAAATCATAAAGCATGGCCATTGACATGGGAGGAGAGAACAGAATTATGAAAACAAGAAAGTTACTATGATGAGGGGGTTAGTGGTCAAATAGGGCTAGTAACTGAATCATCAATCTCTTGTGAAATAACTGAAGTCTCTCCCAGGTCATGGCCCACAACAAGGAAATAGGCCCCCAACTCTGGAACAAATGATTCCAGATGAACAGCCCTGTTTGGGTCACTCCTGGCCAATGGACAGTCTGGGGACTTTCCAAGCCATTCTATGGTTTATCCTTTGAATAAGAACAGGTCATACCTAACATGAGATCATACTTTGTAATCAATCACCTTGTGCCCCATGCATGTATGCTGATTGCGATCTTTCTCTATAAAAAGAGAGCCTAAACCCTTTGGAGGGTGTGCAGCTTTCCCCAAGATTGCTGTCACCCAAGTGCATTCGTTCAATAAACACCTCTTGCTTGTTGCATCTCCTGGTTTTGGTGTTTGTGTTGCGGGACTCTCCCACTGGCCCAACAGGACCCCAGAATTAGGGTCCAACAGGTGGTATAGCCATACTCCAATTTTACAGATGCTATTGACAGATGCAACAAAAATGTATTGGAAAACAATTACACTGAGTGAAAGAAACCCAGAAAAAAGAGTATGCTATATAATTTAACTTTTACAAGATTACAGAAAATGTGCCATAAGCCATATTGGCATTAAATAAATTAGTGGCTGCTTGGGAAAAAGATAAATGGAAAGAGTTCACAGAAGGACATAAAAATATTTCAGGAGCCACCTCTTTGTTTATCTTATTCTGGCAACAGTTTCACATGTGCAAAGATCATCCAAATTCATCCAAGTCTATTATTTAAATGTGTATTGAGAATATGTCTTTATATCTCAATGAAGTGGTCTTAAAACACACAAAGTGAGGCTGCAGAGCTAGCTCAGTCTGCAAGTGCCTGTCCTATAGGCATAATGACCTAAGTTTGACCTCCAGTACCCTCATAAAGAACTGGGCATGGTGGGTGGCACATGCTTATAATCCCACTGTTGAGGAGGTGGAGACAGGCAGTTCCCTGGGGCTCTCTGTCCAGACAGACTAGCTTAATTGGTAAGCCTCAGGCCCCAGAGGGAGACTCTGTCTCAAAAAGCAAGGTAGTTGGCTCCTGAGGAATAACAGCCAAGGATGGCATCTGATATGCTCAAGCACCTGCTAATACATGTGCATGTATACCCCTCCATGTACCCACTAAATAAAAAAGAATGCATAAAGTGAAGAGGCAAGTCACATATTGAAAGCATTCATAGTACATACAATTGAAAAAAAATTCATATTTAAAACATCTATAGATTCCTGGTCTGATGAAATGTCTCAGTGGGTATAGGAGCTTGTTGCCAAGTCTGAAAACCTGAGTTCAATCTGCACTCAGTTCAATGTGGTAGAAGGAGAGAAGCAACTCCCACAGTTGACCACATGTGTCATGTCCTGGCATAAATAAACATGAATGCAGAAACACTCATACACACACACACACACACACACACACACACACACACACACACACACACTGGAGAAATAGCTGAGCAGTTAAGAGCACTTGCTCTTGTAGAGGATAAAGGTACAATTCATAACACCCACATGGCCTGCTCACAACCACTTGTAACTCCAGTTCCAGAAGATCCAATGCTTACTTCTGGTCTTTTTATTTTAGACACTTTTTCATTTTCTTTTTTTTTTTTTTGCATTTATTTATTTATCTTATTTTACATATTGATCCAAGTTCCCTCTCCGTTCCTCCCTCTCTTCCACCTTCCTATGACCCCACTACCACCCTCCCATCCCATCACCCCCCCACTCCACATGTGGGGTGATGCCTTCCAGGAGGAGTCATCTAAATCTGTCAAGTCATTTGGAGTAGGGACTAGGCCCTCCCTCCTGCCTCTAGGTTAAGGGAGTATCCCTCCATGGGGAATGTGCTCCCAAAGTCCTTTTTGCACCAGGGATACATCCTGGTTCCACTGTCAGAGGTCCCTTAGACTGCCCAGGCCTTTTAATTGAAACCCACGTTCAGGGGGGTCTGAATCAGTCTAATGCTGGTTCCCAGCTATCAGTCTGGGGGACCATTAGCTCCCCCTTGTTCAGGTCAGCTGTCTCTGTGGTTTCTGTAGCCTGGTTTTGTCCTCCTCTGTATCTGGATTCCAGTTCGGCTGTGTTTAGCTGTGGGTATCTGCTTCTGTTTCCAACAGGTACTAGATGAGGGCTCTACGGTGGTGGATAAGTTAGTCATTAATCTCATTATTAGGGAAGGGCATTTATGGTAGCCTTTCCACTGTTGCTCAAAATGTTAGTTGGTCAGTCTTGTAGGTCTCTGGACATTTCTCTAGAGTCAGTTTTCCCTCACTTCTGATCTTCAAGGGCACCTGCATACACTTGATGCACACACAGACAAGCAAGTATGCATACATATACATAAATAAAAACAAACAAAAAAGAACCTAGCTAAAATAAATATATTAGTTCACTGGTAACAAGCCAAGAACAACTGAGGAAGGCCACAAAGGACTAACTGGCTTTGAGATGACAGAGCTGGGATTTGTCCTATGTCCTTGTGAGCAGTCTGGGGTTATCTGGACAGCAGAACTAACTTTGTGAACTGAATTTGTTTTCCCAGCATGTAGCTGTCCTAATCTTACTTCTTTGAGTTTCTTGACATGGGAATTTCATACTTATCCAGAATAATTCATTGATCAAGCTTCAGCTATGTGAATTGTCCCGCAGCTAATTGGATAATCAAGTGTAAAGAACATGATCTTCAAATGATACCTTCAAGAGCCTTCTTGCTTTCTGCATTGAGATGGGGTTCTGTCAAGACCAGTGCGCATGGCACAAGGAATACTATCAAGATTTTCTTTTTTGCTTGTTTTTTGAGACAGGGTTTCTCTGTGAAACAGTCCTGGCTGTCCTGGAACTCACTCTGTAGACCCAGAGATCCACCTGCCTCTGCCTCCCAAATTCTGAGATCAAAGGCGTGTGCCATTACTGCCTGGCTTTATCAAGGAATTTTAAGGGAAGGGAAAAATCATCTTAGTTTTACAAAAACAATTTTTGTTCTGTATAATGAGAAGGTCTGGTATGAGGTTTTAGTCATGAAAGTCCATCTAAACACTGCTTATTTATTTGACTTTTCTTGGGGCTGGCTAGATTGTTCTTCCTCTTCTGAGGGTGTTGAGTCTTTACCACATCAGCTGCAAGACTTACTGCCTCACTGCCTCCCCCACACCCATGTTCAACCTGCTCTAGACTCCCTGGGGCCATCTGCAACAAAAAAAAACATATACTTCTTACATAATGGAAAATTTAGTCGAACTGCTTCTACTAGATGGAGAAAAACTGCACTTTCCCATGCCCAAGTTGTTGACCTTCCTGCCCTGATCTGTTTTGCCATAACTGACTGGCCATGAGTCCCATCCTCTGCCTTCAAGACCCATACTTCTGATGACACCACTCACTTTCAAATCTACCTGGGACCTGGGTGTGGGTGCCATGACAAGTGAGGGCACAGGTTCTGCAATTGTGGAAGTCAGGGGCAGTGACTCCCACAAGTCCACACTGGGATGAAGAGAAATGATGTGGTCTCCACATCACCCATGTTCCCCAGTCTCCTCCAGTTGTTCAAAGACTTGATACTTGTCTTCAGGTTCATCAGAATCAGTGCTTTGAGTTTTGGCAGGGACCCTGAGTGTTGGGCTTGGGGCTGGGCCTGGGAAATGGATGTCCCTTTTCCTTTTTCTCTTTTCCAGGGTAATAACTCTGCCTTGTATCCAGATTTCCATGGAAACTGAACAGCCTATATGATGCTTCAGAAACAAAGCTAAGATACGGGTCAGAAGAAATTTAGGTACGAGTTTGATGGGGCTTTAGATGGGTTGAGCCCAGTAGAGATTTATTTGACACCTGCCCTTTTCAATCAACCCCTCCCACTCTCTCCTACTGTATTTTAATCACTGGACACATGAAAAGCTTGAGCAGGACCCTTCCACAACACATCATTCACACTCCAATGGTTTCCTTCCATTTATTTTCTACCTCCTATCTCCAGTGAGCTGGATTGTTGTCATGTCAACCTTTTCCAGATGTAATATGAAGGCCAGTTGGTCATCAGTCAATAGTATATTTTGAAACGTCCCCAAGCTCCATGAGAAAAAAAAAATGTAACAGTTGAGAGTCCTAGCATTTCATCTACAACCTGAAAAATGAAGATGGCTTCAGAACCAACCTGGCCAAACCTGAATATGAAGAGCCAATCACAGACTTGGCCACAGGTGTGTGGAGACAAGACAGTTACATTTATTTCCTCTTTTCTAATTTGAGAGGTTTCATGTTGAAGATCAGTGTGTTGGGGTTGTGAGAGGCACAGACACAAGCACCATGAGGCTGAGCTGTGTCCTCATGGCATGGGTTCCTTATGTTTGTCCTGCTGTGCTCCTGGCAACCCAGGTGTTATTGGGTGAGTAAATGAATGTTGGTGTGGAAATGAGATATGCCTAGTGTTGAGGGGGGACCCTCAAAGGTAAGAAACATAGACTGACTTTGGATTTGCAAAGAATCCCTGTTCAGGTGGGACAAGGACAGATAGAAGACAAGTCTGGTGTGCGGGACTGAATGGCTCTTTTTAAATACAAAAATTCTGATATTTTCCATCCTGAAAGTCCCTTCTGACTATGGATCCTTTGCCAGCTGCAAATCTTAACTCCTGCTTTTCTAGTACAACTTTCTTGGAAGCATCATGTGGGCTTGCAGTCTCCCCCTCATGTTCACTCACCCTTCAGTGCTTGAAGCATGGCTTTCTCTCGAGTCTGGTTATCTAGGGAGCAGTGACCTTTGCAGTAACAAGGTCACTGCACCCTTTTCAGATTTTACCCAGATGGATTTCCTTGTTGCACCCAGCCCTGTTGATTGCTTATTCTCGCATTTTCTCTGTCCATTTTCTCTGTCTACTGCTTAGATGTCTTTTGGTCCTTTGGTGGCTTTTCTTCCCCTCCTGTAATCCCCTCACAGTTCAATCCTTACCCCTGTACTCTTCTTTCTTACACAGTCTCTAATGAGACCATGGAAATGGATCTACACGGTTTTTCGACAACAGTTTATTTTAGAGCCTTGGGGCGCATTTCCAGCTCTAATCATGCTTTTGACTTTCACATTTGAATGTTGCGCTTTATACAAGACATTGTGACCTCTGTATGTGTCACAGGTACCAACACAACATGACCAGAGATGGATTCATCTGTCCTGCAGACCCTTACTTCTTTTAATTCACTGTTGACCCTATCTGATCTCAGTCCCTTGCACTAGCACTCACCTAGGACCTGGGCTAGAAAGCCAAGAGGCATTCTGAACCCTTCATTCATCATTCTCCAAATCATCAACTCTGGCAAAATTCACCTCCTAAATTGCTTTCACAGTTCTTTCCCTGAACCTCTACAAACGCTTTCTTAAGACAAGACTTTATCGTCTGTGATTGAAGTTGTGCAACGACTTCCTTATTAATTATTTCTCAGCCTTTTGCCTCTTTGAAATGAATTTTCACTCTGCATCCAGAGTGACTTGTAAAATGCAAGCTTTTGTCATGGCACATGAAGCCTCAAACCGGGCATCCACTAAACTTCTTCAGCCCCTTCTTCTACCACCTCCAAAAGCCTTCCCAATTGTACTCTAACCAAAGTTCAATTGTCCCACATTTCCATTCACAGCCCAGAGTCTCATCTGCTTCCAAGGCTTTGTTTATGTTGTTAGCTCCATCTGAAATGAACTCTGTCATGGTTCCCCAGTCTCCTCCCCTTAACAAATTTCTAAGTATCTAGACTCCACCTTGGTAGCATCTTCCCCCAAGAAGCCTTGTTGGATCCCCTTTCTGCTCCAGCATCTGCCTGTGGCACTTCATTCTTATCGCTTGCATCCATGCACTGCAATAACCAACCCTTCCACATGCTTGGTCTTCCACTACATTGAGAGCTATTTGTGGGAGGCCCAGAAATTTTGATTTTGTTGCAAGAACTGTGGTTTTGGAACCACAACTGATTAGAAGCCCCCCTTTTTCTTTGATAATTTTTTTAATTTAAATTTGAAATAAGCTTGTTTTACATATCAATCCCACACCCTCCCGTTCCCCCACCTTCCTCTTACCAACCCCCATCCCATCCCCTTTCTGCTTCCCAGGGAAGGTGAGACCTTCCATGGGGTCTTCAAAGTCTGTCATATCATTTGGAGCAGGGAATAGGCCCTCCCCCATGTGTCTAGGCTGAGAAAGTATCCCTCTATGTGGAACGGGCTCCCAAAGTTCATTTGTATACTAGGGATAAATACTGATCCACTACCAGAGGCCCCATAGACTGGCCAGTCCTTCCAACTAAAATCACATTCAGGGGGCTGCATTTGTCTTATGCTGGTTTCCCAGCTATCAGATTGGAGTCCATGAGCTCTCCCTTGTTCAGGTTAGCAGTTTCTATGGGTTTCTCTAGCCTGGTCTTGACCCCTTTGCTCATCACTCCTCCCTGTCTGCAACTGGATTCCAGGAGTTCAGCTCAGTATTTAGCTGTGGGTGTCTGCTTCTGCTTCCATCAGCTACTGAATGAAGGCTCTAGGATGGCATATAACGTAGTCATCAATCTCATTATTGGGGAAGGGCATTTAAGGTAGCCTCTCCATTATTGCTTAGACTGTTAGTTGGGGTCATCCTTATAGATTTCTGGACATTTCCCTAGTGCCAGATTTCTCTTAAAACCTATAATGGCTCCCTCTATTATGGTATATCTTTTCTTACTCTCCTCTATTCTTTCCCTTACTCAATCTTTCTGTTCCCTCATGCCCACCTCTCCCTTCCTCTTCCTTTTAACTCCATCTCCCCTCCCTTCATGCTCCTAATTTGCTTGGGAGACCTTGTCCCTTTCCCCTTCTCCAGGGGACCATGTGTGTCTCTCTTAGGGTCCTTCTTGTTTCCTAGATTTCTGGCAGTGTGGATTGTAGGCTGGTGAACCTTTGCTCTATGTCTAAAATCCATATATGAATGAGTACATTGTTTGTCTTTTTGTGACTGGGTTACCTCACTCAGGATGGTTTCTTCTAGTTCCATCCATTTGCCTGCGAATTTCAAGATTCCATTGTTTTTCCCCATCAAGCCCCTTTTCTAGTTACTAGTTCTGTATCACTTTGAAAAAAAAATCACTTGCAGTTGAGTATAGTAGCATATACCTGTAATCTCATGACTAGGGAGCCTGAGGCATGAGGATTGCTTCCAGTTCAAGTTCAGCCTGAGTTACATTGCAAATACCAGACCCTCCAGGGATGTTCTGGATGCAAAATCCTGTTTAAAAAATTCACAGCTGGGCAGTGGTGGTGCACATTTGTATTCTCAGCTCTTGGGAGGCAGAGATAGGTGGATCTCTATGAGTTTGAGGTCTGTCTGCTCTACAGAGGGAGATCCAGGACAGGCTCCCAAGGTACAGAGAAACCAAGTATCAAAAAAAAAAAATCACTTTTAATATACCTGAATTCACTTTGCTCTGTTGTAAAAATGAGAATGATAATACCAACATAGAACCATATAAGCTTATCAAGTAGAGATGCCAGCTATGCCAACAAGAATTTACATTTTTTAATCAATTAACTTTATGTCTGACTATTCCACACACATGCATGCCTGATACCTGCCAAGGTCAGAAAAGAGTGTCAGATCCCCTGAAACTATAGTTGTGGATGGTTGTGTGCCACCATGTGGATGCCAGAACCAAACTTGGATATTCTGCAAGAGCAACAAGTGTTTTTAACAGCTGACCCGACTCTCCAGCCCTGAAGTTTTATTTTATTTTTTTTAAACAAACAAAACAAGAGGGAGCTGAGTGTAGTCTTATGATAGTGCAGGAACTGAAAAAAAAAAAAAGGTAGCATAATAGAGAAGAGGGTTGGGAGGCACTAGAGAAAACACTGGGTACTGAAACAATGAGAACTAGGAAGTAGACTTGATGGGGAAGTTAATAACTCAGGAAGAGTCCAACGACACCAGAAGTGGAAAAGAACAAGGTGACGGGGACAGGAAGAGTAGAGTGGACAAATAAACCCATATGAATATAGGGCTTGCAGAGGAAGAGAGGGCCTAAGGGGACAAGGAGCAGTCAGAACTGGGAGAAGTGACACTTACCTACCCTGGGTCAGTCATGGACCTGCGAGAGACTGAAGAGATGTGGGGAGGCATCTGTAAGGTGGCGAAGAATTGTTCTATGGTTACTAGAACAGCCTGACAATAAAGGGTTGTTGGAGAGGAGAGGATGGAGCAAGCTTTGCCATTGCTGGGGGGAGTTCAAGGGCAGAGGACTGTTAGGTAAGAGATAATTTAAAAAAATCAAGATTTGGCTGGACGGTGGTGGCACAAGCCCTTAATCCCAGCATTCCAGAGGCAAGAGGTAGGCAGATATTTTTGAGTTCAAGGCCAGCCTGGTCTACAGAGCAAGTTTCAGGACATTCAAGGCTACATAGAGAAGCCCTGTCTTGAAAAGCCAAGAAAAAGAAAAGGAGAAAAAAGAAAAATGAAGACTTGGAGGGGAAACAAGGAGGAAGAGGGGTATAGCTACCTCTTTGGTAGACAACATAGTCTAGGCTAAAGAGCCAAGTGAGTTTTGGGAAAATGAGAATAGTGCAGGGTGTCCCCAGGGAGGGTCAAAGGATTGCAGTAGACTATGTTTGGTCAGTGAAGTAAAATGAACACTGCATTTGAACTTAGACTGGCATCCTTGCTGCATTCATGACTCTTGGGGTGGTGTAAGAGTCAAACCCAGGACCTCGTGCAGGCTAGGCAAATGTCTACCGCCAGGCTTGCCTCCTTTCTTTCTTTCCTTCCTTCATCCATTCCTTTTTAAATGTAAATGTGTTTATGTGTGTTGGTGCATGTGTTAGTGTAGGTCGAAGAACAACCTCAAATGTCATTCTTTAGGTGCTATCTACCATTTTATTACATTTTACTTTAGACTTGGTCTTTCAATGGCCTCGGCCTCACCTAGTAGCCTAGGCTAGCTGGCCAGCAACTGCTGGGTGTCCTCTTTAATTCTCCAGCACTGGGGTTTGATTCCCCTATGTGCAAGCTAAGCAGTCTTTTTTCTTTCTTTTCTTTCTTTCTTTCTTTCTTTCTTTCTTTCTTTCTTTTTTTTACATTTTTTTCAAATTTGATTTTGTAAAACCACTTCTTTAAAATTTAGAGGATGGGAAACTAGGCATTGTAGCTTACACTGATAACCTAGTACTTAGAAAGCTGAGGCAGGAAGGTTGTTGAAGGTTCAAGGTCAGCCTGGGCTACATAACTCATAAAACATCATCATGAACAAAAATTACCAAATGATGGTGAAGTCGTATACCTGAAAGGCTCATGAAGATTAAATAGTGCATGGTTGTGTGGGCATTGTGTGACTCACGATAAGCACCTAGCAGATGCTAGACTCTGATGTGCATCTTTCCCTCCTCTCTAATACTTGTGTGGGGTCATGGCTGTCATTGTCCTTTGGTTTCCTCAACCAACAGCTGGATGTCATGTTGGTGAGTTCACTGCTCCTTCACCCTTCCCCCCACTTCCTTAAACCACAGTCCTTTTACTGAAACTCAAACACCAGTGAACCAAGGTCAAGGCCATCTGGCTGAAGGAGTCTCTTACAGGGGTTTTGATAGCTTCCTCTTCTCCTGACAAGATGGTTCCCTGGGGGGCAGCAGATGAGGCCTTGTGGAGGGCCATTCCTAGCCTCTTTCTCTAAGTTGCAGCATCATTGTCTTGGTTCTCCCTGGGCCATCTCTCCTCAGCTGCCAGTTCAGAGACTCTGAAGTGTGAAGGACCTGTCAGCACTGAGCAGAGCAGCTGCCACACTGATGAGGAGGAAGATGCGGTCCACTCCAGTGATGACTTCCAGGTCAAGGGCTACAAGTTCAGTAAACCATTCCATCTCATCGTTTCCTATGGTGAGGTCCCAAGAAGGCCTGAACAGTTCTCAAGCCACTCCTGATAGTGCCCTCAGAAAATGACTTGCCAGGAAACTGGCACAGGTGGAAATATTCAGTTTCCATCCTCAGCTTCCAGGAGACAGGATGTCCTCAGTCCTACCCTAAGGTAGTTCTTCTCTCAACATTGGGTCAATGGTAAAGGCACAGGACAGGTTGAGGAAATGTAATGAGCCATCCATAACTCCTAGTTCAATCTCAAAGCAAAAATTGTTCCCCAGTCACCAGTATATTTTGGACTAGAGGGGGAAGAGAAGGTAAGTTCAAGGGGACAGAGAGCATTAGGGTGGGCTAGTAAGAGCTGGAAGTACCTTGGAAAGTTTATAGGTTCTAATATGGGCATTACATGGGCCCTCCCAAGGGAGGAGGATGACACTCAGCTCTTACTCTGGGCCACAGACTGGCTGATCCTCCAAGGTCCAGATACATCCATATTTGAAGGAGACCCATTGGTTCTGCACTGCCGTGCCTGGCAAGACTGGCCACTGACTCAGGTCATCTTCTACCGAGAGGGCTCAGCACTGGCTCCTCCCAGACCTAAAACAGAATTCTCTATCGATGTGGTGCAAAAGTCTGACAGTGGAAACTACCACTGTAGTGGCATCTTCAGGAGCCCTGGTCCTGGGAGCAGAGAGACTTCATCCCCTGTGGCTATCACAGTCCAAGGTGAGAGCTAGAGGGAGTGTTGCTGTGGTAGATGTGGATGAGAAGGAATAGGGAGACCAGAAGCATCCAGAGCTATGCTTTCTGGTATCCACAGATCCAGAACCTAGATTTGCTGCCAGATTTGCTTACCTATGGATCTTTTCTAGTCCTGCCAGAAGGGAGGGAAGTAGGAAGTGAAAGGAGGAGGGAGAGAAGGAGTAGGGGATAAGGGGGAGGGAGGGAGTCGAGAGAAGGGAAGAAATAAGAGAACAAAAGAAGAGGAGGAGAACCTGAAAAGTTCAATGAGATCTTTCTAAAAGAACCCATACCTAATGGAAACAGAGGAAGGGATGGGTGGGGGGGGGGGGTCATGGGTCTGCTAAGTACAGGATAGTTGAATTCTTCCTCACTGCTTGTTTTTTTTTTTTCCCTAGAATTGTTTCCAGCCCCAGTTCTTAAAGCCTTACCCTCTAGTGAGCCCCAAGAGGGAGGCTCAGTGACCCTGAGCTGTCAGACAAAACTGTCCCTGCAGAGGTCAGCTTCCCGCCTCCTCTTCTCCTTCTACAAGGATGGAAGGTCACTGAGTATCAGAGGCATCTCTGCAGAACTCCATATCCCCAAGGCTTCAAAAGAAGAGCACTCTGGCTCCTACTGGTGTGAGGCAGCCACTGAGGACGGGCAAATTTGGAAGCAGAGCCCTCAGCTGGAGATCCAGGTTCAGGGTGAGTTAATGTGTGCCTGTGGGGTATATATGAAACAAGACTTGGTTCAACTGAACTCTAGAGGAAGGAGATGAAGAGAGGATTCAGGGGAGACAGGACAATAATCCCAAGTCTTTGATGATGGAAGAGAGCACAGAAAGAGAATGTCTCCCTTAGACCATGGGATATACCAAACCAAGACCCGGGCCAGCCCTCTGTGTATCTCCTTATAGAATTCAGGATTCCTATGTAATCTTAACATCTATGGGAGCATCATACCTAGAGTGTAGACAATATCAAGAAAGGGTCAGCCTGGACTGGTCTGCATAGTGAGACCTCATCTCAAAAACAAAACACCTCTAGGAAGAACAGAGGGCATGTCAGATTCTGGAAATTACCATTAGGAAGGCTGTATTTAACCTGACACATACCTAGAAGGAGTCACCTAGGCTGATGAGAAAGCTTGATGAAAATAATGGGAGGGACTAGTGATCATCACAGTGAAGAGGGGTGCCTCGGGGGATCTGCTCAAAGGAAGATTGAAGCAAAGATGAAGAACTACATAATGGCACACACCAGAAAATGTTGATCCCAGGGTGTACTTCCAGAAATTAAATTCTGGCTTGAAAGAGAACCAATGGGTTGCCCAGTGACCAGGCTTCCTCGCTAAAACTTCTCAAGCAGAGAAGGGCAAGACAGTCAAGCCTCAGACTACAGTTTGCATTAGGAAGGATGGAAGAGTCCTCAAGTCCTGGCTGCCAGTGAGTACCACAGCCACTTTCAGAAAAGAGGGAGGATCCATTCTTTGACCAAACACTATGGGTTCACATCTTGTTGAGTTCAATAACAAAATAAGCATAGCCGAAGCATACGAGAATGGAGAAAGATCTGCATACGAGAATGGAGAAAGATCTGCATACGAGAGTGGAGAAAGATCTGTTATCAGTGTGAGGCAAGAAGAGTGTAGGAGTTATTTCCAAAGTAATACCTCCTCAAACAAAGAAAGTGCAGGGGGTTTATTCAACGTAGACATTTTCACTCATGTAAGGGTTGGCCCATTCTTAAACATGCTCAGTTAAGCAGTGTATTCTGAGCATGCTCGGTTTAAACTCCCGAGTTAAGAAAAGATAAGTAGGCACATTTTGGGACATGGTTAGCTAAAATGGCTTGAAACATTACAGTGATGGACAGGAACACCCCTGGGCATACTGGGTTTGTATTACAGAGTTTTAGCTGAGATAAAATAAAGAACACTGTAAAGAACACTTTGACAGTGCATTCATATAGGAGTTTGCCCCCAAAGGTGCCTGCCTCACTAAGTAGCTAACAGTGTGAGGGCAGGGCAAGAGTCAGGCATCATCTTTATGTATTCATTCATTTATTTGTTATTTTAAGATAAGGTCTTACTTTGTGTCTATGGCTGACCTACAGCTCACTATATTGACCAGGCTGGCCTTTAATTTGCAATACTCCTTCGGCCTCTGCCTCCTGAGCCCTGGGATTACAAGTCTGCACTACCACTTCCAGCCAGATTTCACTTGTGTGTGATGTGCTTTCTGCCTATAATAGTTCAGGTCCCTTATATTCTGCTGATTCCTCCATTTTGAATCCAGCTCTTCAGAAGACAACTGCTTCAGAAGCTCCTTCCGTGGAACCCGCTGGTCCTCTGCCTCCACCACCTGCTCCTTCTGCTGAGCACCTGGGATTCTCCTCCTCAGACCCTCACCACCAGCTACGCCTTCTTCTCAAACAAATGGAAGATGTTAAAGTTCTCCTTGGCCATCTGGTTGTGGAGCTGAGGGACTTGACTGTCTACCTGAAGTCTGGTATCACAAAGGTTGCTGATAAATGAAGGCAAGCTATTCTTCTGTGATATGCTCAACCATCACAGTAATCACAGCTGTTTCTGTACTGCATGTATGCAGGCATAGTTTTGCAAGCTGTCTTGGTGCTTTGTTAGAATAATGCAGCTGGTTGGGTGTAAATAAACATGTGCCACATGATACTCAGAGTGTTCCTCTGGCTGTGTGTTTCCTATGACCATGACAAGGTCATTTCATACCCTAGACCAGGAATTTCTTTCTGCTTCCCAAAACAGAATTTAAAGAGAAGCAAAATGGACTAATTACTGCAATATCAACTGGGGAGATGGGAAATTTCCCTTCCCTATGTTCCCACAGGAAACATTTAGCAATGTCTCCTAGACATTTTGGGTTTAACACAGGGTAGAGAGGATAGGTATGCTACTAGAATTTAATAAGTGAAGGTATTTATGAGTTCAGGAGACTGCTAACCATCCTATAATGCACAGGACAGCCAAGAAAAGATCCCCTGTCTCCAAATTTTATTAGTGCTAAATTTATAAAGATAAGGGGCTGATAAAAGCTAGGTGTTAATCCTATTTGAGACTTTTTTAATCACTCTCCTTTGACAAGTATTACTAACATGCTAGTGTTTAATCAGTTCTTTGATTTGAAATTTTATGTGCTTCTTCCTCCAAAAATCTATGGAAATCTTAATTTTATGTGTATGTGTGTTTATATGCCAAATGTGTACCCATCCTGTGGAGGTCAGAAAAGAGTATCTGATCCCCTGGAGCTGGAGTTCTAGGCAGTTATGAGCTGCTCAATATGAGTGCTGGGCAATGAACTGTCCTCTGGAAGAATAGCAAGCATGCTTAGCCCTGAGCTATCTCCCAGCACCGCCACCCACATGTTGAAATATTAATCCCTAAGTCGATGGCATGAGTGAGTGGAGTGTTTGGGCGGGGACAGAGTTCTCTGATTAGGATCAGCATCTCTATAGAAGAAAGCCCCAAAGCCAGTGGAGCAGTTGCTTTTGTACACTTTGACCAAAATCAATGGCAGAAACAAGATAAGGAGGGGAGGTTTATCTTGGCTCACAGTTTTGGAGGGTTGCTGTCCACCATGCAGGGAAGCACAGCAGCATGACCAGCAGTCCCTGGTGGTAAGAGTGTGTGCTCACATCTCAGTAGGCAAGAAAGAAAAAGCCACGGGCAGAACCAGGGGCACATATAGCCTTCAAACGCCTACCCACTGTGATTTAATTCTGTCAGATAGGCCCTTCCTCCTAAGAGGCTCCACAGCCTGCCAAACTGTGCCAAATGTAAGCGTCAAACATCCAGAACAAGAGCCTGTGAGGTCAAGTCTTAAAATTTCACCCCTGGCTCCAGAGACTTATGGCATCTCATAATGCAAAGTGCATTCAGTCTAATTTCAAAAGTTTTTATAGTTTTAATAGTCCTAATGCTATTCAAAAGTCTCAAGTCTTGAGACTCAAAACAAACAAGTAACTGTGAACCCCTGAAAAACATGTTTCCAATAGATGATGACATGTAATAAATATTCCCATTCCAAAACGAGGAAGCAAGGAAAGACTGGACCAAAGAATGACTGAAACTCAGTGGAGCAAATGCTAAATCCTATAGCTCATCGTCTAAATTACTTTTCTATTGCTGTGGAAAACAAACAAACAAACCATGACCAAAGCAACTTCTGGATAAAGGATTTATTTGGGGCTTCTGGTTCTAGAGGAATAAGAGCCCCCCTCTTTGGAAGGAAGCAGCAGCAAGCACAAAGACAATGGCAGGAATAGCTGAGAGCTCAAGCAGGAAACAGAGAGTGAACTCAAAATGTCATGAGTCATTGGAACCTCAAAGCCTACCCCAGTAACATACTTCCTCCAGCAAGACCACACTTTCTAAGTCTCCCCAAACAGCCACCCGCTATGCACCAAGTATGGAAGTGCACAGACTATGGGGAACATCTCATTTAAACTACCACACTCCATGTCCAGCACCCAGGGCATGTAGAAGGATGGTGTGAGTCTCAGTGGGCTTGGGCAGCCCTGCCCCAGAGAGCACACATGGGCTTTCTCTTTGGCCAGGTCCACTTGGTGCCTGCATCTTTTCTTGACAGATGTTCCACATCTGGTATCTCCAACATCCTGAGGTCTCCATTACAATTAGTCTTTACCTTCACAGCTTTACACATAACCTGCTCAGTGGCCTTCACAAACTTCTACCTGGAAACTCAATGCAAGCCTTTATGACCCCTATAACTGCATGCCTGCAAAAACAGCACCATGTAGACCACACTAAGCTCTGCTGACAGCTGGGAGGTAGTCAGGCTCCCTTTTATCATGATTGCAGTGGGTGACTCAATCTATAGTAACACTTGCCTACACCACCCTTTTCCAGCAGGGTCCCCTGGAACCTTTTTCTTTTTAAATCCCTTTTTTTTTCAGGCACTTGGGAGAAATCTCTCCCTATAGCACATTCTCTACTGTCTCCGTGAAATGTGTTTAGCGTCTCTTTAGTGATGCTAATCTCTGTAAGAATTAGAGCTATTTATCTGACACTAACTTTCCTGTGACTTTAATCATAGTCACACTCCTTTGTTCTAGGCTTGGACTACTATTGTCCAGTCTCAAATGATAAGAGCTAGCCTGACAAATTATGCAATAACCTTGGTTAATATAATCTTTGGTTGATGAATTAATCACATCATGTTATTATGGCCTTAGTGAGTGAATATTCTACCATGTTATCCTGCAATATGTAGAGTTGTATTCCTACTGTGGTCTCTCTTTGTGCTATTTGGTTTTTGTTTGTTTGTTTTGTTTTTTTATGATGTAGCCTGAAATAATTTACAACAAACATATACATGATCAGTTTTTATATACTACAAAGAATCAAAGAACTAGGATCACACTGGTGGCAAATGAATTTTATGGTGGCTTCCAGTATCTTCAATTGTTTACTTGATCAGATCTTGAGTCAACTAAAAGTCCTGCTTCTGGGTGGATCTGTGAGGATATTCCCAGGAAGGATCTGAGAGTAGAGGCCTAAGAACTACATGCCAATTTGTTTTTTAAGGTTTCCAAGTTCCACTTCTTCCATTCATCCCTCCCAGTATGCACCAAAGAAGTTCACTGTAGCATTGTTTATAGCAGTGGAAAATCAGGAAGCACCAGGGCATTAGGGAGTGGACAGGTACCACCTGGTGGAAACATGAAGCAATTAACATGGTGCATGTAGAGGGACACAAATGAAATTTACATGGAATTAATTTTAAATAAAGAAAGACAGCATTTAGAATACATTGTTTATGTAAATTAATAATGCTAAATGGTTCCTAAGATTCAATATGCATACATGTAGTTAAGAGCACTGACGACTTTTCCAGGGGACCTAGGTTCAATTCCCAATGCCCACATGGTGGCTCACAACCTTCTGTAACTCAAGTTCCAGCAGATCTGACACGCTATTCTGGCCTCTGCAGGCACTAGGCATGCTCATGGTGCACAGCCATACATGCAGACAAAACACACTTAAACATTAAACAATAGAATGTATACAAACACGTATATACAGTAAGCATTATTCCATAGGTGTCAATGTGTAGGGGAGAAGAGCGGTAGTGTGGGTAACAGTAGGAAAATAATGACATGAAAGGAGACTCACGAAGATTGAAGACAACAGTCCTCCCTGTGCAGCACTGTGGGTCCCTAATGGGAGACGGACTTGAGAACAGATCTTGGCATTAGCTTCTCCTCAAGCATCCCTGGTTTCTGTCACCTCAGTTCCCTGACATGTAAAACGGAAGTAATAATCCCTCCCTCAAGGCCCCAGTGAGGAATGAACTAATTTTCCATATCCATGAAGCATTAACTTGGTACCTTCCACACACCGGTGCACTCACTAATTGTGAGCTATTCTCATGATCCCACATCATCTCTGAGAGCCTTCTACTACCACAGTCCTTATGAGATAACGGCGCATCCTGCCTGGAAGTTATTCTGTGACAGACTTCATGCCTGCTGTCCCACCACACAGAGGGCTGAGGAAAAGAGAATGCTTTAGTTCACTTTAGAGTTTGAGACTAAGCTGGACAGGATGGCAAGGCCCTTAAACAGGAAAAACAAAACCCTGAGTAACAAAAATTTCCAAATTTGTCTGCATGCTAAAGAACTTGGCAAAGTGCAAAGGTGTGAAGAATTAAAATCCTTGTGGGAAGGGCCCTGCAGAGAGAAAGAGACCCACTTAGGAGAAATTCGGAGGAAAGCATAGAATAAACAAGTGTTGGGCAGGGTACTTTTCGGGTCAAACTCAGGGTGGTATCTGTGTGGTTAATGAATCTGTAACCAATTCCTAGGAATTCAAGAAAAACTACATAGCACATGAATTTTGGTGTGATCTGGTTTCAGCAAAGGGGTTGAAATCTTTGTTCTAGCTTATTAAAAGCCAAAATAGAGTTTGCTTGTATAGGCTACCAGGACAGCTGACAGATGTGTGGCACTCTTACCATAGAAGTAGTGGGCTGTGCAGAAGAAGTCAGACCATGAAGACAGGCTGTGGTTGACATAAAGAGTCTCACACTAGTCCCAAGATTAGGAGGCAAGATGAGGAGGCAGGCAGGGTTCAGCAACGCATGGAGCACTGCCTAAACAGGCTGTTCATCTCTGCTCTCTGTGTCTAGTTCCCTCCCCCGCCCTCAACTTATCGGATACTTTCCTAGTTTTCAGACCTACATATTAACTCCTCCATCAAGTCCTGCTCCCAAAGCAAGATCCAAAGCGGTCAGCACAATTTAAACAGCTTGCCATGCTTTCCTCAAAGACATTTGTATTTTAAGATGAAAAAGCACATTGCACTGCAATATTAGGGGATTCTCAGATGAATGCTTGGTGCATTAGCAACATTGGAGGATGCAATCTTGGAGAGCTGACCATATCTGACCATTGATCTCTTTCCTGCTAGAGTTCCAAGGAAAGCGGGTGTCCTGGTTCTAAACAGCTGCAAGTGTGGACAGGATAGAGTTCAGGGAGACATAGTATCAGGTTGGAAACTTCATTAAATATTTACATGAAAATTCAGGCTCCTCATTGCTCAGGTGTGGTCACATGGCTCAGAGTTCAGGAGAACCAGAGCAGAGAGGTCTGATCTGAGAAGCCTTGAAGAGGCTGAGGTAGTGACTATTCTTCCAGGCAACAAGCCCTGAGGACCAGGCATGGCTAGGGAGGAGTACTAGGGCCTGGTGGAAGAAGGAAGGAGCAAGTGAGTAGAGGTACTATAAGGTGAAGTCACTGTGGGTGGGAAGGGAGACTTTCCTATTTTCTGAGGGTTTCGGGAATTAAGCAGAAACAAGATGGACTGGCTAGTGGGGGAAGGATGGAGTGGGAGTGAGATATCGATGGCACCTGTTGGAGCCTGGGGTTCTGTGTGGCTCTCATGTGCTATAGAAGATGCAGCTCCATAGGTCTTCTCTATAGAAGTCAAGGCTGGACTGAGCTGGGACATGTAGCTGGGACAGTGCCTGATGCTTGGGGTGAGCGAGTGGTACACTCAGGTGATTCCTGCTTTCTCTACTCCATCATCTTCAGGAAGTAAGAACGGACAGAAGAAGCAACAGTGTCTCCTAGCTCTCAGTATCAGCTACAAGCTGCCCCCTTTTTTCTCTTTGTGTCCCTCTTCCAAGCTAGCTCATACTCAACCTTCTACAGCTGCTACAGGCAGACTCATCATGTGGACACTTGCAGCCCTCCTGCTTCTGGGTGAGTTAGTAATGAGGTGGCATCAGCAGCTTTTGAGGAGGAGATTAAGACAGGGCAGGGTATGTGGGCTAAGAGATCTGGCTATGCAGACCTCCCTCAGGTTTCAGGTGGTTCAAAATCTGCCTTGGAAGGATGAGATTGAGGTAACTTTCTCAAAGCCAGGTGATTTGGTGTGGACAAGGGAAAACAGGCTTTGAGACTATTCAGTCTTTCCTGGGATCAAATCTTTCCTCACCTTCTCCCTTCTTTCTTGCTTTTGCAGTTCCAAGCAGTGGGCAAGCTGGTGAGTCTTCTACACCTCATATCCAAGTTTTGATAAGTTCCACTAGGGTGACGCCCCAGCTCCTGACTGTTACAAGATGGGGTTTCCCTCCTACTCTTGCGCAATCTTGGTGACTAAGTCTTCTCGTAAACATACACTCAGAAATGAGTTCTGATGAACAGATTCCTTGTACGGAGTCCCATGACTGTGGTCTCCCTTATTGCCAGGGTGGGTTTCTATGTGGACTGGGTCCCAGAAACTGGTGTTTTCCAAGAATTCACAACCTCAGCTTTCATTTTTGAGCAGGCATCTGGCCTTACTTTTCTTCCTCACATAACCCCATCCCCCCACCCCATTCCCAGCTACCTTGGAGAAGCCCATATTGTCTCTACACCCACCTTGGACTACAATCTTCAAGGGGGAGCGAGTGACGCTGCGATGTGATGGATACCATCCTCTGCTGCTAGAGCTCCGGCCCATTAGCACTCTCTGGTATTTGGGCCATGTCCTCCTGCCTTCCCACAAGAAGAGCATTGAGGTGCAGACACCAGGGGTGTATCGATGTCAAACACGGGGAGCACCCGTCAGTGACCCCATCCACCTCTCTGTGTCTAACGGTGAGTAATGGAGACATGGAGGGAAGAGAATGCACAGTGTTGTTTCATCAACCCTCCTGGCAGGGCAGACACCAGGCTATTCTCAAGGGACAAGAGAAAAAGGCCACACAGTCTCATCTTGAGTCTTTGGAGTAGGCAGAGGCCTGCAGTAAAGTTTTCCTGGCCCCAAAGGTTCCCCTTGTCTTCCTGATGGAGCATGAAACAAGTAAATATTATTAGTATCTTAAGTGAGGTGACCCAGTTTCAGGACATCAAAAATTGCACTCTTTCATACTACTGGAATTGTAACTTTCTTTTCTTCTTTTCTCTCTCTCTCTCTCTCTCTCTCTCTCTCTCTCTCTCTCTCTCTCTCTCTCTCTCTCTTTCCCAGTACAGGATCCCTGGCTGGCCTGAAACTTACTATATACACCAGATTGGCTTTGAATTTACAAGGATTCCTTTGTGTGCCTCTTGAGTACTGGGAATACAGGCATGCACCACCACACCCAACCAGGGTCCTTTTTGCTTGTTTGTTTTGTTTTGTTTTCTTGAGACAGGGTCTCACTCACTAACCTAAGTATGCTGGCCTCAAACTCAAAGAGATCTATCTGCTCCTGCCTCCTAAATGCTGGGATTAAAGGTGTATGCCACACATTCAGCCAAGATTCTAACTTTTATTTTATTTTAGTTTTGTTTTTTGAGACAGGGTTTTTCTGCATTGCTTTGGAGCCTGTCTTTGAACTAGCTCTGTAGATCCACCTGCCTCTGCCTCCCCAGTGATGGGACTAAAGGTGTGTGCCACCAATGCCGGGCCAAGATTCTAACTTTTAATGTTTTTGTGTATGTAAATAAGGGGGTGTGAGAATGGGGTACATTTCATAATATTAGATAGGAGACCAAGAGGTGTTGAGAAATAGAGAGGTAGGGGAGCCAAAAGGCCAATGCAACATGTAAGTATCCATAATGAAAAAAGCTTTTGGAAATGGTAGGGTACAGGGAAGAGAGGGCGAATGGAGATGAAGGGTAAGAAACAAAAAAAAAGTTTTTTTTTTGATTGAAAAACAATGCCACAATGTAAGTTATTTATTTGTGATCTTTTTGTTTGTTTGTTTTTGAGACAGGGTTTCTTTGCTTACTTTTGATGTTTAAAAAAAAAGGTAGGGGTTGGAGAGATGGCTTAATAGTTAAGCACACTGGCTTCTCTTCCAAAGTTTCTGAGTTCAATTCCAACTGGTGTTCCCCTCTGGCCTGCATGTATATATACAGGCAGAACTCTGTATGTATAATAAATAGATAAACCTTTAAAAAAGAGAAAAAGGTAGCCAAGCATGGTAGTACATGCCTATAATCTCAAATTCAGGAGGCAGAGGCAGACGTTTGAGATCGACCTAGGCAGTATAGTAATACTCTGTCTCAAAAGCCTTTTTTTAAAAATAAAGAGTGAAATAAGAGAGACAGAGAGAGAGGGGGATGGATGAAAAAGGAAAAGAGGAAGGCAGGCAGGGAAATTGAACAAATAACTTAATAAAACTTAAATTATTGGCATGTATACATGAGCACCCAGGAGTTGACTGAGACACTAACTCTGAGAAAATCTGAAGTTTCAAAGCAGAGGTGAGAAAACTGGGCGTGAGGGTGGTGCCTGTCGTTCCAGTACTCAGGAAGCAGAGGCAGAAGGATAATTGCAAATCTGCAGCCCAGCCAGGGTTACATAGCGAATTGCATCCTGTGTTAAAACAAACAAATGAATGAAACCACTAAACAAAAAAACCTGGATAGGAAAAGTAATTTTAAAATGTATCATTAAGATACACAATTGGCTGCTTCATATGGAAGACTGATGGCCTTAACTTCACAGACAGTCATTTTTATTAAGTGTCTAAAGAGCCCCGGTTGATGTTCAAATAAACACATCTACAGGTTTCCTGTTTAAGGCTATGTGGAAGCAGGGATGCCCACAGACAGTGGCCATAGCTGACAGAAAAGCACAGAAACTGTGACTATGGCTTGCAAAGTTTTCTGGGGACAGAGTTTTCATATGAAGCCCAGGCCATGCCTTGCCTTTCAATCCTCTAGCTTCTGCTTTCCAAGTATGGGATTACAGGTATGCACAGGAAAGCTTGTCAGGGTCTAGGCCAGGAAGTCCTTAAAGCTGTATTGTGGAGTCTAAGCTTGATTCTGAAAGAGGCTCTTTGAGGCTGGAACAAATCTGAGGCATCTTTGCCTCCCTGGTACCATTTTCCTTCCTCCTGTTCTGTTTTCTGCACCCTGAGGATCACAGGTGTTAGTTATCAGACCAGGGAATAGGAAAAGGGTTTGGTGGTCTGAGCAGTGAATGGGGCCAGGGTGGGAGTGGGGGGTGAGGAGTAGGAGGTGGAGGTAGGGAAGGCTGGGGGGGGTGGTTAAGGGAATCTGAGAAGGGGAGACCTGCGGAGCTGGGTTTTCTTGTTTTGGTGTGAGACAGTTTGTGTAATCCTTCTGGCTGTTCTGGAACTTTGTAAGATCAGGCTGGCCTAGAACTCACAGAGATCCTCCTGCCTCTGTCTCCGGGAGTGCTGGGATTAAAGGGGAATTCCACCACTCTCTGCAGAGATGGTTTTTCTGATGAGTAAACAGTGTCTGTTGGGTCTGTTGCAGACTGGCTAATTCTGCAAGTACCTTATGCTGCAGTGTTCGAGGGAGAGCCCCTGGTGATGCGCTGTCGTGGCTGGTACGATAAAGTCGTCTACAAGCTTCACTACTACCACGATGGCCAGGCCGTGAGATACTTCCATTCTAGTACCAACTACACGGTGTTACAAGCACGATCTAGTGACAGTGGTCACTACCAGTGCTCTGGCACCATGCGTATCCCAGTGGAGAGTGCACCCATGTTCTCCTCCAAGGTGGCTGTCACCGTGCAAGGTGGGAGAGATGATCACTGGGAAATTCTGGGGCTGGAACTAGAAGGGGGAAAAGGAGGTTGCACTCTGCAGCATGTTTTGTAGATGTCCCTATGACACACATCCAGGCTTCTTTTTCCAGCTAGGGATCCCACTTAGGAGTGATGAGTTCTTGTCCTGTCTGAGAGCATCTCATATCACTACGAAGAGGGACTGCAGCTATCCCCTTTATTTAAGTCTAGGCATGCTGCAGCTAGGATGTAACTTGTAGCATCTGTCAGGATCCTCCTGTATTCAGACAGTTCCCATCCCACCTCCTTCCCCCGACTCTTCCCCGTGCCCCCAGTCTCTGCATCCCAAACCTCTTTCTCCCATCCCTTCTTGTTCTCTGGGTCAGTGAGGAATCCTCTCGGAAAAGGCAAAGAGTGGGATCCGAGACGGTGGACAGGTTGGCCCTGGTTGGGTACCATTCCTCGCGTACTCAATGAACATCCGGGCCTCCTGGCCAACCTCCCTGCAGAGTTGTTCCAGACACCGGTGCTCAGGACGCTGAGCCAGCAGGAGGCGCGCGGTCGCGTGGTCCTGCGCTGCGAGACGCGCTTGCATCCGCAGAAGCGAGACACGCCGCTGCAGTTCGCCTTCTACAAGTACAGTCGGCCTGTCCGCCGCTTCGACTGGAGCGCCGAGTACACTGTCCCTGAGTCCGAGGTTGAGGAGCTCGAATCCTACTGGTGCGAAGCCGCCACGACTAGTCGTAGTGTCCGGAAACGCAGCCCCTGGCTGCAGCTTCCCGGGCGGGGTGAGTGACCGACAGCTGAGCGCTGCGGGTGCTCTGCCTCCTGAACCCAGTGGTCCTCTCGCAGTATTCTCACCTTTCCATCTCAGTTCTAACAGCCCCCAGAGGCAACGATTTCAGTCACCGATGACCAGGCATGTTGTGTTGCAGGCTCAGCCCTGGATCTGGCGTCCACAACTGCCCCGAACCCACAGGCTGCAGCCTTAGCTCCCGGGGACAAGCCGCTTTCCTTCCGGAAGACCCCGGTATCCAGATCCGTCCCGTCAGTCACTTCCGTCCCGAACAGCACCTTTGCGGGGCTGCAGTTCCCCGCCGGCCATGTCCCTACTGTTGGGCCACAGGTCTGTGAGCCTCTGCCCACGTCCGTGGAACAGTCCTGTGAAGCTCTGCAACGCAAGGTGGACCTCCAGCTTCGCGAGATGCAGCTGCTCAAAGAGCTTCTGAGCCATGTGGTCCTGGGATTAAAGAGAGCTTACAGAGACCCCCAAGGCACCCAATTCTCAGATTTCTGAAAGCCAGAGAACCCCAGAGACTACTGTCCTGGAGGGTGGAGTGGAGAGCTAGTGTCTTCTCTCCAGGATGGTTCCTCCTGGATCTTCCCTCCACCAGGTCAGCTCTTTTGCAAACCACTGTCCCCTCGTACTCCTGTGGTTTTTAAAGAAACGCCCCTGAAGTGTGGTGCTGTGGATTTTCACCTTACTAGATAGCTTGTAGGCGACTGTAGGCCATTTCAGTCTTGCACAGTAGTTTGTAAACACAAATACCCTCTCTGGTTTGTTCTTTCTTCCATACTCCAGGAGAGAAGTAGACAGCTGTTGTTTACTGTTCCACAGTTTGCACTCTTGAAAGTGAATTTAGACCTCATAGAAATTAAGTACACATTCCAGTGTAGGTGAGTGTTTTGTTTTGTTTGTTTTGTCACTGAGGTTAATGAGCACTTTAGAACATTTTTAGGGAAAAGTTGTAACTATTCCTAATGAAGTTACTCTAATATTAAAATGACTTTCAAATTCTATTAATTAATGAGTTTATGTATCTTCAAAATCCCGAGTACGATTTCAATTTAGGGAAAGATTTTAGTGTGGGCTACTCATTCTTGACTACATGGGTCAGAGATTCTGTGCCAGACTCACCCAGAGGCACCCCTTGTCCCCATGTAACTACCCAGAGCCACTCTGGTATAGTGAGTGGCAGGCCATACTAACTGTACTGAAACTGACCTTACTCTATTTCAGGGTCACACTGTCCTCGCTTAAGCTTCCCAGTGAAGGCTGAGAATCAATATCAACTCTACCCTCCCGTTCTTCATCCTGCCCCAAAGATACTCAGTAACATATGAGTATGAGCAATTAACCACAACCAACATTCCTTTAAGTTTTTATTGGTTATTATTTAATGTGTGTGCGTACTTGCCCAAGAGTAGTCACAGCAGTTCCCTTGTGTCAGTCAGGGGACTTGTGCCTAATACTGAGGAGGAATATTCATACCCCTGGATTCGATACTTTGGCTACAATGTCTCAATTTTCCAATGCAGACCCCCTCCCCCTCGCTGCCTTTTTTCCAGTGCTCTGACTTTCTCTCTTCTGACCTTGCTCCCCCAAGGTGTTGGCCATCCTGACCTACACAGGAAGCAGCTACCATCAGTGCCAAGAGGCTTAGTAATCAAAATACCTCAGGTTATTCAATAATAATGATGATGATGATGATAAATTTTAGTGTTCTGGGTGTGGAGGTGGCTCATGCCTTAATCCCAGAGAGGCAGAAACAGGTAGATCTCTGTGAGTTCATACTGAGTTCCAGGCCAGGGCTACACATAATGAGACTCTGTTTCTAAAACAAAACAAACAAACACATCAACAAAAAAGAGAAAGAAAGAAAGGAAAAAACCCCACCACCACCACAACAACAACAACAAAAATTAAATGAGTTGATCAGAGGCTTAGTGTGCCAGCATCTCTTTCAGTAATCAACATTCATTTTCCAGTAGATGAATAATAAAAACTCAGAGACAGATATTGGGGTTCAAGCTGAAGATCAGAAAAGCAAAGCAGCTGGCCAGCAGAGAGCTCTTACCTCTACCAAGACTGGAGAGAGCCTGTCCTCAATGTGGCTGTAGACTAATTGCCTAAGTCTGAAGTCTGAATGCCCTGCTCCTATATTATATACCTCTCTAGTGCTGGGGTTAAAGACATGAGCTCGGTTTCTCTTTTAGACTCATTCACCCTCATGTAGCCCTGGGTGGCCTTAAACTCACAGAAATCTGTCCACCTCTTGTCTCCTGAGTCCTGGGTTTAAAGGTGTGTGCCAGTACTGCCCAGCTTCTATGGCTGTGGCTAGATTTGCATTCTGATCTCCAGGCAAGCTTTGTTAGACCATAAACAATATATCTCCACATTTTCCCATCTTGCCACAGGCTTCCATTTAGAGCTAATGGGGGAGGTATACAGTAAAGAGGATAGAAATGTTTGGGGCAAAAGTTAAAATCACTCACAGCTCAACTTACACTGTGTGGAAAAGGAAAATTGTACACCTTGTTCATGGCATAGCCTTTGAATCCTTTCCCCAAACTTGCACATGGGAGGGAAGACCTAAGATTACCCCCTTTGGTGTCTGTTGGGATCTCTCAGGAGTGCCTGTACCGAGGAAATGACAGCAACTGCTGCACCCTGCCTCTGTTTCGGTTCTAGCAGGAATTCTGTGAAACAGAAGCTAACTATCCCAGTATCCCAGCTGTCCAGAAGGTATCCTGGAGCCTATTCCCAAAATGCAGAGGTAGCAGATTGCTGCTACCTATGGAGAGAGCCGTTTTCTTTCTGGTTGTCTGATCACTTCTGTATCTTAAGTTCAGACCTCAAACTCAAGCCTCCTACTTTCCATATTAGGTAGCAGTAGGCATGGACCCCAAAAGTGTTCTATTGAATGACAAAAAGGGTTCAGTCATTATCATCTCAGCCTTACTTTGTACTTCTGCCCTTCCTCGGTGTCCCTCATCTTTATGGAAATCCATTATTCCTCACCATATTTGACATCTACATTGTTGTGTGTAAGAGCCTGAACAAGATCCTATAAGTTGAAATTCAAGCTCTCAGCATTTGACCTACCCTCTGCCACATTGACCCCTTGTAATTTTCCGAGAACATTGTCCTCTTTCATGGTCTCCACCTTTGAGTAGACCTGCCTGGTCCTATATGGGAGGGCTGTGCAGACCTGAGCTGAGTTTCTGAGTTTCTTCATTCTGAAAATGAGAGAAATAACAGTGATCTTACAGGAAAAAACAAATAAATGGATTTTTTAAAAAAAATTATTAGAGGTGCTCAGTACTTAGAAGCCCAAAAGGAGATGAAATCACTTTCAGGGGTATAGCTCAGTGGTAGAACATTTGACTGCAGAAATCACTTTCTAGAGAGATAACTCCCATTAGTTACTTACTATAGGTAGATTGCTAGAGTGTGGCTAAACTTTTGCTATTTCAGATTGAGCTGCAGTGAATGTCTTTGAGCATCCCCCCCCCCCACATTTTGTTTTTTGTTTGTTGTTTGCTTTGAGACAGTATTTCTCTTTGTAATCCAATAGCCTGGAACTCAGGATAATACCCAGGCTTCTCTTCAGCTCTCTGGCCCTCTTGTCCCTGACTCCTCAGTTTTGGAATTACAGGTGTCTACAACCAAGTCTGCTTGTTACTTATGTCATAGGGAATTTGCCTATAGGCCTTTTCTGTTTCTGGAGTTTGAAACTTGCTTGAAAGGAGAATGACCCAAAGAGAGAAAATAGGCTAAAACAATAAAATAGAGTCAATAAAGACAATAGATGGTTCCCTGCCCTTCAGAAGGGCTCAGAGAAAAGGGGAAGCCAAAAGGACAGGTTCAAAGGAACCCCCTCTATAACAGTGTTTTGGCTCATGACTAGGTTTCCTTAAAGAAAGGTTCCTCCACCCCCCCAACTTTTTGTCAGAGTTTCAGCTCTTTCTAAATGGCCTCCATCCTGTATATCATGAGCACCCCAGTATCCAGAGCACCCCAGTTAACCTGCTTTTGTTTGAAAACGTGAGGCCCACAATTGGCAGCAGTTGTTCAGATGGCCGAGTCTCAAGCAGATACAATATGCAAGCAAAATTTTATCTTCTGTTTTCACAATTGAGCAGCTACACTTGTGACGGGATGTAGACAGTGATATTTCATTGATGCTAGCTCATCTCTTTAGAAGCTACAAAGGAAATGGTTGAAACCACAAGGAGACAGGGCTAGGGTGGAATATGGGAGGAGAGAGGATTTGTGAAGAGGTTTTTGTTTTGTGTTTTTTGTTTTTGCCACAGTTCTCCCTCGCATGGAGGAAGTATGGGAAATGGGCTGTCTGATCCTCAAGCCTAATGAAAAAGAGCTCATGGGGTCAGCCACACAAGTCTGAAATATGTCCCCTGAATTTGGGAGGCACACTGGGGAGTGATTCTGATTTAGGCCCTAGGAAGCTGAAGTAAGGTATTGCTGTAGGACAGAAAAACCTCATTGGGAGTCAGCCCACACCATGGAGCATTCTGGAGCCCTGTGATCACTGCAGAGAGAAAATGCCTGTTTTGATTTGCATGCAATAAAGCCCTGGGACAGGCATAAAATTTTTGATCCTCCATCTTAATTTTTAGGGGCTGAGGGAAGATGTGCAAAACTAACAACTGGAAGGCAGATGCATTTGCCTTATCTAGAAAAAAAAGTATTTACCAGAAGTAAAAATTGCCAAAACATTCATAAAAGAATCCCTAGGAACAATTGGTGTTTGCCATGTGCCAAGCTCAGAGAGCAGGAAGTCACCCATCCAAACTGAATTACAAAATCCTGCTATTCTTTTACCCATCCTCTACTTGACCTCCCTCCCTCCTCCATTGGCCAAGGTGAAAAGCAAAGGAAATAGAGATGCACACAGCACAGAAGGAAGAAAAGAAAGATGGAGGAGATGTGTATGTGTGTATGGGTAGGGAGAGGAGACGCTTCCATGTTTCCCCAAGACAGGACCTCCCTAAGATAAAAGGACAAACAGTTATCTCTGAATAAGGGTTAGATCTGTTACCACTGGGATTCTCATTTATGTCTTGACAGTATCTGTGACTGTAGCCTAAGCTTATTACAGGGCTGTGCACTGCTGGCAGAAGCAGAAACACTGTTGATCTTTGCAACCCTTACACGTGTGTCACTCTGGGCTCTTTTGTAAATAGAGATTGTGATTCAGCGAGTGTGGGTGAAGCCTGAGAGTCTGCATTTCTTCCAAGCTCTGACTGATGCCAGTCATGCTGGGTCTTGGGCCACCTTTTGAGGAAGGTAATGTGAAAAGGGGAATAAATTGAGTAATTTTAAATGGATTATGAAAGACAGAAAGCTGCATTTTCATCATGCCGCAATTTATGCATACTTACAAGAACGTGTTCCCTTTATTTGAAGTCCCCCCCATCCTTTTTTTTTTTTTTTAAGACAGAGTCTCACTCTGCAGCTTTGGTGGCCTGGAATTCACTATGCAGATCAGGTTGGCTTCAAGCTCATGGGGATCTGCCTGCCTCTGCCTCCTGAGTGCTGGGATTAAAAGGATTTGATTTTTTTTTTTAAACACAGAAATCATTAATGAAGTTTAAGGCTGTAGCTGAGTTGTAAAGTGCTTGATTCCAATGCATGAGGTTCTAGGTTCAATCCTCAGTAATAATTAAAAAGAAAGTATTAATTAATACAGCCTTTGTTATTAAAAAAAAAAGTCATGTGTGTAGAACAAATGTTAAATTCTACTTAGTTACCACTTTCCCACCTATTCCCTTGGTAATTACAGACATAACCAGCATTTAACACTTCAGTGAGCACTCTTAACCCTTTTAAGGAAAAAGTAGTCTTTTCTTCTTCCTTCCTTCCTTCCTTCCTTCCTTCTTTCCTTCCTCCCTCCCTCCCTCCTTCCCTCCCTTCCTTCCTTCTTTTC